AAAACTGAAATTTATTAGATAATTATTAATTAAAAAATGTGACCACAAATTAAAAAATTAAAATGGATAAATTTGTCAATAAAATTAAAAAATTCTAATCTGCTAGCAGTTTGATACAAAAAGCTACATAAACTAGCTTTTTCAATCCGCTAGCGATTTGGACCTTAACCGCTATCCGCTAGCGATTTGGACCTTAACCGCTATCCGCTAGTCTCAAACTGCTAAATAAAAATTTTACCAAACACTTTAGTTGTAGCGGTTTCAAAATTTATAAATTTACCAAACACCTATATTTAGCGGTTTAGGTAAAACCGCTAACCGCTAACCGCTACTTCAAAACTGCTATACCAAACAGGGCCTCTATCAGGGAGGTGGTTAGTGAAGGTGAAGTTCAGGTTTTACATTGTGATTCAGATGACTAGATTGCTGATATATTCACTAAAGGATTGCATAAGTGTAGATTTGAGACACTAAGAGACAAGCTCGGGATGAGCAGCATTAGTGTCGAGGAGGAGTGAAAACAGCAATGCAAGGAATGGATGCTAACAGTGACACAAATGCTGTCACGTTATTTACAGTTTGTAGCAGTTACTTGTTTGTTTTATTTGATCAGTTTGTTCTTTATGAATGCAGTGCAGTTAACTTTCAGTTTTTATCAGTTTATTTTCTTTGTAAAAAGCAGATTTGGTTAATGAAATTTTAGTTCTGCAATTATCTGATCTTCATCTCTTTGTTCAAAAACTAACAATTTGTGCAGGTTAGTTTCTTGGAGATGTCTTGCCTATCAAGTATCAACATCATAACAACTTGCATTCATACTGGAGGGGAAGGAAAATGATGCAGATGGAATTTTCACTGCAAGTTACCTAACAAAAATTATTGACTTTTCACAAAGGGAGTTAGAACCTAAAAAAAATGACTCACACCGGTGCTTAAACTCACTAGAATTTGATCCAAGAAGTAGAAGACAATTACATGGCAGGTGCTGTGGTACCCTTTCCTATAGAAAGGTTTGTGTATCCTCCTGATTGAGGAAGTCATGCTGTTGTGGAGCATGCTGGATTGACTCCAGCAGATGCAAACTGAGCTAAGACTGATGCAGTGCTTTCTAAAAGATGTAGACAAGAGGCACGATGGAGACGAGAGTGTTCGGAATTGGGTTTCAGAAATAAGAGAAGCTGCTTACTACATTGAGGCTGTTATTCAAAGTTTTCCTCGAATCTGTACACAAGAATGGAGGAATCCATTACCCACCATCAAAGGCACAGCAGTTTCACAACCTGGAGGATGTTATAAAAACTAACCAAACTTTTAATTGTTGGAAACATTATTAGAAATGTGGCATTCAAACCTGCAAAATGATGAAATGAAACTGCCATGAAATGGCAAAATAACATAAACTGAGCTAAAGATGATGCTCAGGTTTTTCCATTGATTTCCAGACGTTTTTCATCAATACAGACATGTTTTGTATGACTAGTCTTTTACATTCACCTACTACCTTCGAATAATAATACATAAACCCCAAAACAAGGAGCATGTTACATGTATACAATTAAAGTAAAGCCATAAACTGAGATGAAACACTTAACATCAAAGATACAAGAAGATCACATTTGAAAATCAACAAAGAAACTTCTCAGCAACTTAATGAAACTGAACTGGACAAGAACAGTGATGTGAACAATAACCTTGCTGCACTGTTTCATTAGTCTTTAACATGGTGAAAAAAAAATTTATCTTCACGATCTGAAGTATGGATTACAATTCCAAAACTAGAAGTACAGCACGCTGAGAACTTACAATTCCATGTCCTTCTCTCAGTTTCCTTCCTGGACACAACCAATATCCTGTTTCTGTCAGTAATCTCATTCAATCCTTTCACTTATTTTAACTTGGAATTAATATCAATGAACATATCAGCATTGAATCTCAGTATGCACAAGCACCAAAAAAGCAGTTGTTGAATTCAGATGGTCAAGCTTCTAGTTACTATGGTAGAAACTAAGAAGGTTTAAAGTTCGTGAAAATACCTTCGAGTTCACAATCACTACAAGACTGCAATGTAAAAACTTCATTTCCAGAAAGAAATTCTTTTGTTCAGGAAATTATCATACAGATTTGTGTGTTTCAGAATGCAGTCCAGAAATAGAAGTCAATAGTGAATTTTGCAGCTGAAATATAATTGAGAAAAAAATGGAAAGAAAAAATATTCATAAAGATATATACATGTCACCTCTACATCTACTACAGATTTTGAACTGTGAAGGTTTCTATCACCATTTTATGAGGAACTAATCCTGGGGAACATTTTTATGTAAAAAGCTCTTGCAGAACTAGCATGTCATACAGCTGATATGTGCATGGGCAATTTATCACGTACTTTATCTTTTACAGGTAAATATTTGAGCATGTTAGCAGCAGTAGGTGCTGTTACAAGTTATAACTTTTAAGCACATATTTTAGCCAAATGCCAAAAAATTTTAAGTAATGCTAAGCAAACAAAAATATTAAACATGAAAGTCTACAGTTACTCTACTAGGATCACATTTGTACCTGATGATCACCCTTCTCAATTTAGAAATACAATAGAAGGCACATGCTGGATTTTGTAGAAATCCTCTCCATCTTCTTGAAGCAGACTTTTGAATGCTCTAGTCATCCATCGAATCTCCAGTTCCTTAAGAGTAGTGATGAACATCATGCCTTCAGGAACAATCTTTAGTTTATAGCAATCTGAAATTCCTAGATGAGCCAGACTACACATGGCTCCTTCCTCCACTGTCCACTCCTCTAAATTGGGAAGGCCACGAAGGAGCAATATCTTGAGTTGGGGAAAACCTTCTCTTGAGCAAACCATTTTCTTTCCAACAAACACTTCCCACCCACTAAAGTATCTTAAGTTTGGCAGCTTCTCCAGAGTCTTCATTGGGTCTTCCTGAAGCCTAGATCCCCACAAAGTTAACTTGGCAAGGCAGGGAGGGAACTCATGGTACTCAGGTAGGTTCTCTATCCGCCCTTCTATGTGCAGCTTGCAAAGACAAGGACAGCCTAATAATAGCTGCCTTAGATCAACAACCTTATCAGGAAAGGAGAGAATATCAGTCTTCAAAGACAAGGACATGAGGAAGTTTAATGTGTTTCTTAGAGGATCAAAGATTTTGACAAAGTTTCCAAAGTATCTGGCATCATTCAGTACAAGTTTCCTGAGTTTGGTCAACCTGAGAAGATCTTTAACATCACATTTGTTAGCAGGAAAGTTCACAAGGGTCTGCAAGTTGATCAAATTTGCCAGCTGCAACTTATCAGTTACATCACCACACCACTTTGGAAGATATAGATGTCTCAACCATACCATCTTCCATAATACATCTGGCAATTGTACAGTTGATTCCCAAGAAAACTTATTTATGGTTTGCAAATTCAGGGTTTCCAACAACACCAGATTGACCAGAGATGATGGTAACTCTCTTATAAGAGTTTTCTTTATACTTAAGAACCTCAGCTGTGTCATAGTTCCTATACCTGCTGGTAACTTCACCTTAGGTCCTTTAATTCCTTCAAGATCCAAGACTTTAAGCAATTTGAACTTGGCAACAGCAGAATTCATTATCTTTGCGATATCTAATCTTTGTTTTTTTGAACGGAAGAAGAAGAGGGACCTCAGGTTGGGATTTTTTTTTGTATTGTGGCAAAGTAAGATCATCAACATCTTCCCTCAAAAGAATCGAAAGCCTGCGACTTCTTCTGATTGATCTTGTTTCATTGGATGATGAAAAAGCACCGAGGGTCTCATTCCCAAACCAGTGGTCAATTATGTCCATGAAACTTTCTTGTCGTGCCTTCAACAAGCAAAGATCACGCATAAGGTCAAGCAGGTGACAAGTTTTGATTTTTCCAATTGAACCCCTCACTCCCACTTGAACCATACACCTGTTGATCAAACTATGTAGGTAGCCTTCTGCAACATCTTCCACTGTTTCATCTCCTTCTATCTCATCCTGTGGGAAGACAAAGCCTTCTGCCACCCACTGCTGAACTAACTTTTTAGTTGGTATATCAAAATCTTCAGGGAACTGACTCAAATAGAGGAAGCATGGTTTCAATTGGTAAGGCAATTCATGGTAACTTAACGCCAATACCTCAGATAATCTTGCTTGTTCATGGCCTTTAGTTCTGGACAAATATGACCTGATATTTCTGTTCACCATGTCCCACTCACTCAATGTTTCTTTTGTTGCCAAAAGCCCTCCAAGCACAACAATGGCCAGTGGTAAACCTGCACAGCTTCCAACCATTCCTCTCCCTACCTTCTCCTTATCTTTGTTGATTCCGAAGTCTACAAGAATAAAAGGAACATTTAATAATAAAAAAATAATTATTTCTACATTTAAAACAGAAAGCATATTATCAACCAGTAATCATTCATTCCTTACGATTGCGTGCTTCAAGAAGGTTAAACAACCAAGAGCACTTTATTTTGAGCTATATGACACTGTGATTGACACCTTTAGATTCATAAAACGTATATCTATATAGAACATGTCAACAACACAAAAACTTAATTTTCATTGTCACAGACATATGTGCTTAAGGCTCCTAATATCCAATTCATGTAATACCATGCCCTGTTACAACCAATGGGCTAAGTGTAAGATCTTGGTAAATTAGATTGCATATTCCAGTTTATGTAGTCTGCAATATAGATAAACAAAATTAGACCTGGAGATTATAGAGCATATGATGATAATTTTTTACCTGAATCGCCTCTCCTTGGAAATGCTTTTCTTTGGAATAACTCCCAACTCTTTTCTTCATTCAAACAGTCTGGTTCATGAACAAATCCCTCTTGGTCAGCAATCAAAGCCGATTCTTTGTTGCGTGTTGTAAGCAGTACTTTGCTACCAGAAGCAGTTTCATTTGGAAAAGCAGCACTAAGAGTAGACCATGCCTCGGTGCTCCAAATATCATCAATAACAATCAAACACTTCTTTTCCTTCTGAACTTTAAAAAGCTTCTTTGCCAAATCTTCATCTCTCATTCTTAAAATTTCCTCCCTCTCCTCCCTGGATGGAATGATAAGTTTCAGCACAATCCCCTCCCAAATATCTCTTCTTTTGCACTGCTGCGACACATATGCCCAAGCAAACCCTTCAAAGTGTCTCCTTATATCACCATGATGATAAACAGCTTTTGCCATGGTGGTCTTTCCCAGACCACCCATACCACAGATAGACACAACTCTGTATTTCTCTTCATTCACCAGCTGTGCTATCAGTTGCCTTATATCTTCATCAAAACCGACAATATACTCTTCAACAACATGGGAATAAGACCACCTGAGCTGCCTCTGCCTCTCAAATGCTAAGCTAGTTCCTTCTCCTTCTTTTCTTGC